TTGTAAATGTTCTGCTCCTGTCTGAGTGGGTGTGCAACAAATAAAACACTCCCANAAGTGACTAAGAGTTTGTTTTGGTGTTTGTTTGGTTATTGTTTTGTGCTTAGTGGGGCTCTCTTATATTTAGATAGTCTATATTTGGGGATTTGGGACCTTTTAAAGCCAAAGCAGACTGAGTTTTACAAGTATGTCTTCCTGGATGCCATATAACCAGACACAGACATTACCCAATAGAGCTCGTCAGCGGTGATCCAGGCTGAGGCTGAAGGATCTGCTGTCTAGGGAAGGAAGACAGCTGCCCAGTGTCATAGGCCAGTGAGTGGTAGGACTCAAGTGTAGGACACTTAGACCACACCTCTCTGCACCAGTCTAGACTGCTCACTAAAATTCTGTAGATACCTATATTCTTTAGCTGATGCTCATGCATATAGTAGATAATTTTGAATATGTAGTAAACTGAAAATTCTACATATATCTACATTCACATTTTCTATGAACTTAAAAAGTAAGTGATTATTTACATAACTACTATTCTGTCAAGGGTTATCTATGGACTTCTTCGTCTTCTTAAGAGTGAGAAAGGTATTCGCCTTCCCCAGTCCCTGCATCTCTCCTGCCTGCCTTCCTCTGTATCTCCTACCCCCACTTCCATTTTCCTCGCCTGCATCAGTGCCATTCTCTCCAGCATGTTTGTTTGCATGGGCTCTTACATCACATGTCCTTTTTGCTCTGTGCCCATGAATTTTAGTGCATATAAATGGCATCATGCTATCAATCTCGTTCTTATTTTTATCACAAGGTGTGGGTTTTTAGATCCATAGTATTATGGATGCATATACCTAAGAGTTTGCTTTTAATCATCACAACAATCCGTGGTGGGCACTACGTCATTTTACCTACCCACAACACACCCCAGTGGCCTCCCAATTTTCACCCACCATCAAAAAATGTTTCCATATGTACCCATGGACATCACCTTTAATGAAAATGAATGACAGCTAAATGAGAGAATTTCTTGAAGATGTAATCCCCAGCAGAAGAATCCCTGGGTCATAGTATATATGTAATTCCTTTGGTTTATAGGGCTGAATTGTTCCCCAGAATCGGTATACCAGTCTACAACCCCACCAGCAGTGTGTGATGGTTTTTACCTTTCTAAATCCTTGTGACATTTGACATTGTCCATTTTTCTGATTTTTGCCAGTGTCCATTTTGTAAGAGATTTTGAATCTTTTTGATTGAAACTAATAGCCTCTTGATTTCAATGGCAAAATAAATAGCTCTATTGAAAGACATAGACTTTTTTGGTTCATGTGTATTTTTATTCATCTGAATTGCAAATCCATAAGATAAGCTCCAGTTGCTATGATAGTGAGAAAAGATACTACATTTTGAAAGTCATCACTAAAATGTGAGTAGGCTTCTGCTGCCCTAACACCTGGCTCAGTTATCCCTCTTCCCCATATCCTGCTGTTTCTGGTGAAATGCTAGTAACACACCAAAGCCTGTCTTAAAACTGACATGCTGCTCTTTGCCACTGAATTGTAACCCTACTCTAATTGTAGTAATTATTATAGGTCATTAGAGTCAGTTCTCTACTTTTCTATGCACCTGTGGTATATGTGATATAGAACATATTTGTACATACTGTTAAACTCACTTTATGGTTATTCATTAATTGTTTTATAAATGCTAAGAGACAGCCATTTATACATTTAATATTTCCATTTTATCTAACTTAACAGCAATAGTTTCTGGTTCTGAAAACTTTTAGATTAAAACCATCTTCCCCATGTTCTGAGATGTGAAATGTTGGCATCTTAGCATAGCACTGATTTGAGGGCTGGATCAGTTTCAAAACTGGTTCCTGGAAAAATCCTGGCTGAATATGTTAGTGAGCTCACCACAATGATAAGACGATCTTCCAGCCTCTCGAGAGTGCCGCTCAGGAGTCTTCATTTTCCCAGTGAGATGGCACCTTTCACTACCTGTTTGGCTGTCTTTCACCTATGTCTGCACTCTGGCAGCAGCGTGGACTACAGCTTACAGTACTTACTAAGAAGTGTTAACCTGAAACAGATAGACCACTCCTATCAAAAAGCCAGACTGAGGGAAGTTATATTTAAAGATAATTTGAGGAAAACCTTTTTTGAGTTCTGCTAAGTCATTTGCGAGTCTAGCCACTGGAAGTCATTGTAAATGCCATGCCTGTTTACTTACCTGGAATTGAAGGAAATAATCTGACATCCAAGTCCCTGAAATCCTGTGCTCTGACCTGAAATCAGCCCATGTCTGTGGAAAAAAACAGCTTGAGGACCTCCCTTGCTTCCTCAGGAATTGTCCCCACTGAAGTGCTCACACCTGTCGCTCCCAGGGCTTCCCCTTGCAGCTCGTGCCCAGGTCCGCCGCGGCCGATCTGCACACTTTGACTCCTTTCCCTTAGCCGTGGGGCCTTATTTTCCTTCCTCTTCTTCTCTAAAACTTCTTGCCTTGCTGTGTTTTTTCATAGTCCCTTTATCCTCCCATAATGGCTGCCGAGTGGCGTGTAGCTTCTGCAGCCATACCTGACAGCAGATGGTAGAACCTTGATCAGTGTCAAAGCTTTACTGCTGATCCCACAGGAAAATCCCAGAAGCCTACTGATAGCTGGAGAGTGAATAGGTTCATGTCCCAAAAAAATCCCTGGTACAAGCTATGGCCCATGGTAAGTGCTGAAAATCAATATCGTGTCACAGGAAACAGAGCGGCTCCATTTCGATACAGGGGCTGACATCCCAGAGTGCAGATCCTCCCAGACCCTTTCGCGTCGGTCAAAGCCTGTGTGAGTAGCCAGTGTGCAGCTGCCATGACTGTATTTGAGGAGAAACAGTTTTTTTTTTACTTTAATCTAGTTTTGCTTCCTGTGATGAGGTGGGAGGATAGTGCAAAAGTTCTGTCTAGGAAGCCAAGACAACCTGTTTTGTGAGGTCTATAGTATCTTTTGGTACTGTTCCCACAGCACACAAAAGTCTTAGTCCTGTGAGAAGTGGATACAACCTGGGACGAACATTATAAATGATTGAAAGTGTTTATTTTTCTACTTTCTTTCTCTTCTATTTGTACAGATAAGGAAATGAAATAGCCTTGTATGATAAATTACTACTAGGTGCCAATAAGCTGGTTAACATATTTTTATTTCCTCGTACATTTTTTTTTGTTCTGGTTCAGGTGTATATTCTATAAACCTAAAATTTATGTTAAAAACATATTGGTGTAAGCAAAGTAGTAACTCATCTTTTTTAACTGGAGCAAATGTGCAACCGTTGCTGGTAGTCCCTGAAGTAAAACTATGATCTCACACATTGTAAGGAAAAAATCCTTCTCAACCATCTTCATGATGTGGCCTTTCAGGTAACTGTAATTTTGTAAAGAGTTGCATATAAAGTCAATATAATAAAGTTTCAACATGCCTCTTGATTTTCATGCACAAACATGGCTTGTTCTTTTGAGAAAAAAATCTGAGTTATCTCGGAATTCCAAGTTGCAATGTGAGAAATTTACATTTACCCTTCTTCTCTTATTATGTTAAGGCTGCAACTCATCTTCAAACAAATGTATGACTGAGGTGATGTTTTGGAATAACATCCTGTGTTTTGGTGGCACATCACTCTTCAGTGACATTCTTAGGTCGCATTGTATTAGCACATGATATTTTCCCCAGTTAATTGATATCCCAGGTTTGTCCAGAGGAAAATCTACTGCTCCCTCAAACATGCTTGACAAGTTATTATATTTACTTTAGTCAAAGCCCGTGTGTGCAATATCCCTCTTGGAGGTGGTCTATTATTGGAGTCCCATATGCTTTTTGTTTGGGAAGAAAGCAGTCACTGTGTCATACTGTTACATGGAGTATTCTTTTTCAGGGATGTTGTTCCCTTGGGGACCATATCAGGCCAGAGTTCCTTAGTCTAATAAGACCTTTGTAACTCATTGTATAAGAGTTCTGGGAGGAAAGCAAGAGTTAAACAGAAAATGTAATTCAAGCAACTATATTAGGCCACATGTGGGAAAACAGGATTCTTAGTACTGGATTAAAAAAAGGTATCTGTTGTAAAAACAACTGTGATGCCAAAGTGTTCAAGGTATTTCAGTGTAAATGAAAGCTATCGTGGCACAGGGAAATCATGACATTTTACAGGAAAATCATAATTTCCTGCATCTGATTATAAATGCATCTGATTAATTATAGAAGTCCAAAAAAGTGATATTTAATCCAAGATTTTCTTGTGTGAATTTTCCCATTAGTAAAATGACATTTAACATGTATGAAGATAATGATTAAAGCAGCATTATATGCATATCCATCACTCAGTCTTACATAAAAGTACATATACTTTTAGGAATTACTCAATTTAATTGTACTTTACCAATCATAATTTAACTTCTACATACAGTTTAGTTTCTGAATATGAATAATCTAAAAACATGATATAGTTATCTATTCATAAACTCTGTATGAATAAATGCATCTGATTAATTATAGAAGTCCAAAAAAGTGATATTTAATCCAAGATTTTCTTGTGTGAGTTTTCCCATTAGTAAAATGATATTTAACATGTATGAAGATAATGATTAAAGCAGCATTATGTGCATATCCATCACTCAGTCATACATAAAAGTACATATACTTTTAGGAATTACTCAGTTTAATTGTTATACTTTACCAATTAATGACATACTGATTTTTTTCCATATAGCCAGAATTTTAAAAACGAATTTTACAAAATGAATGAGAAGCCCTTCAGATTTCATAATTATGTCTGATAAAGAAAATCATAATTTAACCTCTACATACAGCTTTTGGATACAGAAATCATAAAATAAATACTTGATTAAACTACCTAAATATTTTGAAAAATTTTGATAATAATGAACCATTTTCTGAAATGTGAACATTTTACAGTAACATTTGTGATAATGTAATATTTTGAGACTCCCCTTTCTTTTTTTTCTTTAAACAGAAAATGGCTTCACAACAACCTATCCTAATTCACGAAGATTCCATGAACCTGCTAAGTCTTTACACGTCTCCCTCTTTGCCCAACATTACATTGGGACTCCCAGCAGTGCCAGCCCAGCTCAATGTAAGTCATTACATAACAAGAACCCAAACTAGGCCACACGATGTTTTCACAGGGGACTCTCTCATTCCTTGTACATTTAGGCTTCAAGGAAACTTGGTAGCATCTACTTCTCTGTTTACTGAGTTATTTGAAGACGTTCAGTTGAATTTCTAGTGAAAGAATTGCATTGGTGCACACAATGATATATAAATATAATAACTATTATTTGTACAAGGCTTTTACAAAAGAAAGCACTTTCCAGATATATTATTTTAGTAGTTCCACACAGCCAGGCCATGAAACAGAGATTACACGTCACTTTTTCATAGAAGACACTGAGACTTGGACTATTTAAAAGTGCAAGATCATAGAGCTATTAAGTGGCAGACCTGGAACTCAATCCAGCCAATGTTGAGAGTGTAGCTTCTCGAGCACGGCAGCATGTTTATAGAATTTATTCTGTAAATGACTTTATTTTGGAAATTTAAGTTACTCTATGGTCCTGAGAATCCTTATCTGGAAAACCTCTCTAATAACAATGTTAAACACTACCCAGGAGATTCAAAGAGAATCGATTACTTTAGAAGTCTTGATAACTGAAATAAGATCTTTTGGAGATAATCATCCTACTAAAGATAGTAATAATTATTTTATACATATTCCCTAAAATAATATAAATTTTAGTCTTTGTAAAAGATTTGTAAGCTTTATCTGAAATAAGTTATCTGTGAAATGTTAGTCACTTAAATTGTACTTTTGCAAAGCTCATGTAATACATTGGTTTTAAAGAAGAATCTGCTTCAACCCTAGGCACCAATTTTGCCAATCTTAAGCAACAGGTTTTCTGAGTCCAGCTTGTCAAATTACCCTCTTTTGCAATATGTCCACATTGGGGAATTATAAAGAGTTAACCATCTTGTGACTATTTTCAGAATGCATATGGGTTGCTAATTTTTGCACAAGCATACCTATAGTGACATTTATCATTTATAAAGGACAAAATTTTATGATTGTATTCAAAATTATTATAAAATCAGTCTGAGAGATATCTTATTATATTTGGTATTGTTAATAGAGTGGAATGTTATCTTAAGTGATATACTAATCTTATACCAATGAGAGAAAACAGAATTTAAGTGTTGTATTATATCTGGGGATTTAAAAAAAAACCCTTAAAAATACTGAATTCAGCCATGCCCTTGAAATTCCTCATGAAGCATTTGTGAACAGTTGGTTCTAGTGAAAAGAAAAAAAAAATTAGGGATGGAACTAAGCATGAATTTTCGTGAATGATATTTTCAAATCTTCACTTACTAAAAAATTAATTTCCTTCTAATTTGCCTATTCTTCTGATGATAAGCAAGTAATAACATAAAAACTTCTTATGACACATGAGTAGGCATTTTATTTCCACTCCTTTTTGCATGTTCTAAGTCACTCCTACCAGCTAACACAAACATACACCACTTCTAATGTGGTCAGGGAGAATTTTTTCCCAAAGGACCAAGTATTAACGCCAGACCATTTAATGTTTCAATGGTCATACAATTTGGTGCTGTTGGATGAGTAAACCAGTGTGGTTTGGATTGAAGTTTCATTTTTCTTTGCTTCTATTTTGGTGCAGATAAGGCCATCACAATTAATTTTTCATGCTTAGCATTGCTTTGGCAAAGGGATCTCTAATATTCCATTTCCCCGCTGAATAGTGGGAAATGTTAAGGAAAAAGGGGCAGAAAAAGGAATCACTTCTTGATAAAACATTGCATTGACTTGCTGCGTGACTAAGAAAAACCATTTACCTCTTCGTCCTTCAGTTCTCCATCACTGAAAATTGCTTTGCTTCCCTGGTGCACAGCAATTTTGAAAGATGAAACATGAGTTTTGAAAAGAAACATGCCACGCAATTTTGAGGTATTAGACTTCTGCTTTTGTAGTACCAAAATGACCACCATTCATTAAATTCCTCGGATAGGATAATTCATTATTGCTACTGATGATGTAATTGTTATTGCCTTATTACTGTGTTATCATACATTTCAAGTTCTTAATAGCATTTTTATTTGATCTAATTTCACTTGGAGTTTATTTTATTAAACAAAGGGATCTGAAATGTCTTTTTCAATATTTAGAGATTTGGGGATCTGTTGTGAATTAATATAACCTACATGTTTAAATCAAATTTCTGCATATTTCATATAACCTCTCATTGAGTTATGTGAAGAATTTCACTTTAAAAATTAAATGTTGGAAGCCTACAGCTCTCTGAACTTTTTAGAGGACATAAAGAGAAAGAAAGGGTGGATTGTTCCTTCTGTCTAAAACTCCAATATTACAGACCGTTTTATCTCCAGCTTCTCAATCGCTATGATATAATCATGAATTTGGCAATTTGAAAAAATTTTACTTTTCCAATATACTTTTTATTTAAGCAGTATATTAAAATATTTTAGAAATAAGCTTCCCAATCATTAAGCTTGAAACCAGCAGCATTTTTAATGTTAAAAAATATTTTTAAGTTCAGTACAATGATAACCAATACTAAATTGTTTTCAGCTCTTTTTATTTCTCCTTTGTTAATTCACTTAGTTTAAAAGACATGCTATTATCCATTTTTCCCTACTTAGCCATCAGTAAGATGAATTTTATTTTGGTGGGGGAGATTATGGAATAATGATGCACAGCTCTAAAGACCCACATGGATGAAAGAAGATTAACATCTTTATTATTTCTTGACACAGGCTTCGAGTTCACTCAAAGAAAAACAGAAGTGTGAGACACAGACGCTCAGGCAAGGCATCCCTCTGCCTGGGCAGTTTGCGGGCAGCGTCACGTCATCGTCCAGCCATGCCCATGTTGCTCTAGAGGGAAAGCCCAACAGCAGCCACCAAGCTCTCCTGCAGCATTTATTATTGAAAGAACAAATGCGACAGCAAAAGCTTCTTGTGGCTGGTAATTAATGGCACCACTTACAAATCATTTTAGGGCTCTTATTTCATCAGTGATCTAATGTAATGTCCTTTTAACTCAAGACCATAGTAAAGATTTACAGTGTCATACAAGGGTCTCCCTGACACCTGGTACTGTGGGAAAGGCTATTTCATTATTTATTCCTCTAGATCCATGGGGAAAAACACTCACTTCATTTCACCTTCATACGTAGCAGAGTGGACTGTTGGTGAGTCATCGGTCAGATGCACGCCTGTCCAGAGCTTTGGCACTTCTGCTTCCCCTGCCCCCCACCCTAGCCTTCTTCTGATGTTGGCCTGTAGAATCACTATTTTTCATAAAATGTTTCCCATTTACCTGGTTTCTGTGACTTACTGTCTTTTCTTAAGCAAAATTGTGTGTGTGTGTATATGTGTGTGTGTGTGTGTGTGTGTGTATACATGTGTTTTATTTTTTCCAGGCGGGGTTCCCTTACATCCTCAGTCTCCCTTGGCAACAAAAGAGAGAATTTCACCTGGCATTAGAGGTACCCACAAATTACCCCGTCACAGACCCCTGAATCGAACCCAGTCTGCTCCTCTGCCTCAGAGCACGTTGGCTCAGCTGGTCATTCAGCAGCAGCACCAGCAATTCTTGGAGAAGCAGAAGCGATACCAGCAGCAGATCCACATGAACAAAGTAAGCCCCCAACCCAAGTCACATGTCAACCACCACAGGGGACACTGGGGTTCTCGTCCCTGACCTGGGTGCACTGGGAGAGCGATGGTACCTGTCCCAGTGAGAGAAGGTTGCCTGATGTCAAGGCTCAAGGATTATCTTCACAGAATCAGTGTTCTCACCATCCTTATACTCATGGGATGTTTGTAGCAAACTGAAATTACAGATTAGCAAGGTCTTTTCCAATTGAGTGCCCCTTTTAATACATAAGCACATACAGGCACATGTGTGCAGAGTTCCATTTTTGGTATTTCTGGAAAAGGCTTGAGGCAGAGTTCAGTGTGGCAGGGTGACGTCTGCAGAAGCTTACACGGGTGCTGGCATATAAGACAGGGTTAGCAAACAAAGTACTTCTCAGCAAGTCACGTGTATCCATGTTATATTTATTTTTTAGTATGTCCCACTTCATTCCAAAATGTTTGAAGCAATTTCTCCAAAATGTGTGGTAATTTCTTTCTGGCTGCCGTATTGTGGCTGAACTGGACAGCAAGTGTCTTGCATCACACCCCATCCTCAGCTCTTTTGCTGAGGCAACCACAAAGAAGTGATCACAATACGGTGACATCAGTCAGACTGGCAAAGCCACGCCAGTTCCATTACCACTCTCTGCTGTGGTAGGCTTCCAAAGCAGAATCTTCTCATTCCCAGAAAATGTTAAGGCCTGAATATCAAGATTCTATCCACTCACCTTTGTCACTGTATCACCTGTAAGTATCTTGTAGAAACATTACATTGACAGATGATGTCCTGTTGGTGATAGATAGCTAAAAATTGGCTTAGTATTAAAATGCTTTATTCTATTGCAATATAAACAATGCAAAACCTCCTGGGTAGAGGGCTCATCATCTTTATAAAGCTATAGGAGAATAGGGTCTTTATCTAGGGGGTCAATGTCTCACCTTATTGCAGCTGGGGTAGATTTTTTTCTCTTTGGCCTCCACCTTACGAAGGCAGAGCTGTGAAGGAAGCATGGACCAAAGATCACACTACTAAATAGAAATTCTCCAAGCCCAGACCTTTGCTGCTTTCAGGGATTATGTGTGTGGGGGTGGGGGGTGGGGGCGACATGCATGGGAACGGTTGGTACTGGCAACTGCCTCTCCTACCATCTTTCACTTCTACTCTACTGCAGACTTTATAGATCATTAGATCCATGCCTAGTTTATTGCTACAGCATTTCTCTAAATATATCAAATTATTTTGTATCACATCAGTCTTTTCAGAGGAAAGCCAAATTCCTTCTTGTACAATGGCATAATACTTATTAGCTTGAATGTGATTCTGCATATGTTTGCTGCGTTATAGTACAATTAAGTTTGTTTTGCAATCTCTCAGCATTGCTTAAAACTACCAGGTATTCTTGAAAAACTGTCCAGTGTCTAGTGAGAAAAATTCTGTGGAAGGAAAGATTGGGATCCAGTTTTTCCCTCAAATATTTTGATCTGGAATTAAGTTTGTTAGATTCCTATTAATATCTTTAAGAATACTTGGAGTATCTTTTTATGACCTACAGTTGCGAGACTCAGATGCTATGCTAATATCAGAATCTTTACATTCTAGTTTCATACTTGAGATTTTGACAGGCGGACACTAACCTCAGTCACGTAACAGAAACTAAGATGGAAAACAGGCATTTGCATTTTAGCAATGGGAGACACAAATCTTATCAGATTCTTCTGCCATGTGGAGCCTATTCCTTGGAATCAGTTAAGAATTCTTCCCCAAATTAGAAACAAACCTGTAATTTTAGGTACATGTTTGTACAGTGGTTTGATTATTAAATCTTGTCTTAATTAGGCAAAATGAAGCCCAGAAAACTTCAAAGTACAAAGCTGATCTCTATTTATTAACTTCTCTCAGCTTGGGTGTTTAGATTACTCAAGCAGGTCTCCAAGTATGTATTCCATATGTTTAATCAAGATGGCATATACACATTGGGTATTCTCCAGATTTTAAAAATAGTTCACCTGCTCTCAATTGTCTAAGGGAACAGAGAAGAATCTTACTAAAGAAAACATGGAGACTCCGTCCTCCTCTAAAGTGTTCACAGTAGAACCATCAAGAAATAGATTGCTACTGTTCATACTTTCCCCATAAGGTGGTGAAACCATTCACTTCACATTAGGTGACAGTCATAATTTAGATGCCAAAAGCTAACAAGTTTCTGTATAATAATACATTTGTGTGTTCTCTAACCATTTAGAATACCCATTAATAAGAAATAACCACAGAAACATGCATTTATGTCATTTTTTTCTGTTATCGTGGATAATCCTGCATTCAATCCATTCAAACTGGAACCAAATAGTTGGCATCATAAAAATATGGTCCCTGCTCTTGAGATACTTATTACAGCAGGAGATAATGGTACACATGAAGACATAAGTGGACAAATGATATGTTTTTAAATGTCTTTTCCTTTTGTTCTCTAAACTTTTTAATATGATTATTTTTGGAGGAATTTAGGGAAGCAAAAAAAGCAGTCACAATAGAGAAAAAATATGTAGGTTTGTCTCTAAACCTGCATCATATTAAATATTCTTGGCTTTCCTGACATGAAATTTTTCACGATCTATTTAAATTGTTAATTATTTTTAGAATTACAAGCAAACCTGTACTCTTCAGAGCATGGTTCATACAGTGATTGACTTATTAAATTTTGAAGACTTTCTTATATCTTGCTAATATTTGAACGCATTTATGCAAGCAGTCATACATGTTTGCTATAGTTATGTAATGTAAATGTTACTATTCATACTAAATAATTTACCTGTTGCCTGATACTTTAATGACATTTACATGGGAAATTTGTATATTATGAGAATTACTTGCATCATGTAATTATGGTGTAAGTACTCTGCAGCTTAGCAGAAATATTCCTGAAATGAGTTTATATAGAATTTGCAGTGTTTTACCTCCACAGTAGGGTAAGACAAAAAGGTAAGAGTTGAGGGGAACACCTGTCAGGATGATTTATCTCTGCTGATCAGTTTAAATATTATATTTCTACTGAAAGTATTTTAAGCTTAATCATGGCTTACCAGTATTTGCTCTTTTATTTTTTGAGACACTTAAATGTTCAGAAATGTATTAAATAGTTGAGATTGCTAATATGTGGTATATTCATGCAGTGGTGACCTGTGAGTCTTTTCAAAAAACCAAGATTCTTTTCTTTCCCCCCACCCCAAGAGTTTCTTTTTACCAGCATCAAAAGAAGACTGTTACTTTTGCCAGTATCTTTTGTTTTTTTATTGGAAGATAAAAACGGTTTCTAAAATAGAATTTTCCCTTCAAGTACAAAATAGCAAAAAAAAAA